ATTGCGCTATTCATTTTAAGAAACGTCCTATTATTCCAGACAATATGGCTCCAAGAAGGCTTGGTAAAAATCCCCCTTTTTGAATAATTATTTTTCGTTTATTATTTATAGATTTTTTATTGGAGGTTAACGCCGGTAACTCTTTTTTATACTTCCTTAGTTGATTCGTTATTTTTTTATTAAGATTACAATTTCCTTTTAATATGTATATTCAAAGCTATTTCACAAAATATTTTTATTACTTCTAGTTCACAATGCTTAATTATTATTTTTTGAAACCTTGGTTTAGAATTTTTTAATAGGTGTAATATATGTTGATTGGTTTTCAATTGACTCATATTCTTGTGCTAATTGCTCTAACTGATCTTTTGTACAAAAACATGAATTGAGACCAAACAAATCACTTCTTAATCTAAAAAGATCGTTGACTTCTTGAGTGAGATCTAATAATATATATCCATATGTTTGCGATGTTACCTCATTATATACTTTTTCGAATTCTTTAACCTGATTCGGATATATTTGTCTGGCCAAAGGTAATATTTGTGATTTATCTCTAGGGTTTTTGAAAAGTACTAAATATTTACAATTTAATGAAATATCTCTTGAAAATTTTCCTTGATGAAATAGATTTTGTGTTACAAAAATTACAGACAAATTTCTGTGATGTGAACCTCTAGTAAATAACTCACATATTCGTTTGTCCTTTGTACTTAACATCATATCGTCTAATACTATTAATATAGGTTCATGATTATCATTTATGTCTGGAACAGTAACATAATGCTCAAGCCGTTCTATATTTTTGGGAACAGCATTTTTATCAGGATTACACCAAATTATTTTTTCAACACAAGGTTTTATATTGTCTTTATTATTTTTTAATAGATTATGTATAAAAGTGGTTTTCCCACAGCACGATGGACCGGCGACCATCATTGTAAATGGGTGAAAAAACATAACAAAAATAAAAATTGATCTTGTAACCTACATATATTTATAACATAAAACATGTCAATTGGTCAAAATATTATATAAACCTAGTAACCTCTTCAGTACTTTTATTTTCATTTAAACTTTCATTGAGGACAAGCACTTGTTTTCAATATGAGCGGACAGATTTTTATTGTCGACCTTCAATTTGTACAAAGAAATGAAAAACACTATTTTGTAAAAGAATTAGCTTTACTTGAAAAAGGAAGCATGATCCCCATGGTGTATGATTTTAAATCTCCATACTCTGAAAGTAGATAAGCTATGAGAGTTCTGGCTCACTTTTTCCATAAGAAATGTACAGGAGCCAAAAAAAGTACTTTTTAAGTGTTGCCGTTGTAGGCGAATGACGGTATTTGAAAGCTTTCACCAGCGTAGATGTGTTATCAATGTGGCTGTTGTGCGTAGGTAGGTGTGTGTGTGTGAATTCCTTATACATTATGCTTGATATTAGCGTAAAACAAAAACAATACAAAAAATTTTATAGTTATCAATATAATATGTATTTGTTTTATGTGCAATGTATAATTATATAGCTATATGTTTATATATAAACAAAGTACATGTATGACTCATAATTATGTAGATTTAAAAGATGTGGTTTGATGAATATTGAAATATGAAAAATTATATTCTATATTATGTAGCTACACATGTACATACAATCTCTCACGTTTTAGATAACTCAAATAGAATTGGGTGTCAAACATAATAAATAAAAATAACAGCATAATAGGTTACAGCTAGTAATTTTTCTTATCAGTAAAAATAAAACCGAATTTATATATGGACAGAAAAATTTCTTGTATTTATACACATGTATGTATATACAACATAGAGCAATAATAAAAGCTTACTCATGTTTCACATAATATTTAATTTTACAATTTATTCTTACCGCGGTTGGTTTGTATACTTATTTAAGTAGAAATTCTGTTATGAGCAAAGAAAAAAAAATGATTATACCATATGCAACGCTTATAAATTCTTTAAAGTCTTCAATGAAACTTAGAGTACCTATAAAAACTATCATATATGTATTTCTGCTATCGTATGTATGTATGAATCATAAAATAAATGTTTGAAAATGCTAAATAATGGAGTAGATCAAATTATTAAAGTAGTAGTAAAAATGGAGTAGATTCCAATCAGAACAACAGATTCTCGCTTAAACTTTTTGTGAAGATATTTCTATTAAATTTTTTATGATTTTATGAAATATAAATATGATATTTCTATATTAAATTTTCGCTTTTCTAGTTTTGATTCATATATATATATAACTATATATATATAAACTGTTAGTGATTATCATACATACAGTGTACCCTTAAAATAACACCGTCACAACTGAAAATAATCAAGGTCGCCATAGAAGGAATGTTATTTAGTTAGTGAAGTTATAAATACGTATGTAGGTATAACATAATTATGTCAACAACATTAACTGATCTGTAATAGATTGATAATCGATCACTAACCGCCTCATATATAGGGACTCTATAGGAATAAAAAAAAAATGAGCAAAATAAAAAGTGAAAGCACTCGAGTAATAAAAGTCATAATTAAACATTTAAAAAAAATAAATAAAAATAGTATTTATACAAACAGCCAAGTTAATGTATTTATATAAATGTACGTGTGTATATACATAGGATGTAGATAAAATTAGTCAACTTGATAGTATTTCACATATTCTATTTATTCTTATCGTTGTTTGTATACTACATTTAAATACGAATTCTATTATGGGTAAAGAAAAATTTTGATTATACCATATGGAATGATTATATTTCAAAAGCTTTCAATGAAGTTTATACCCTGTTCACAAACCTCAATTATTAAGTTGATTATTAAGAAAATATCAACTTGAAACATCAAGTGTTCACAAGCTATTTTACTTAATATTCAAATGACAAGTTAATATTTTACAAAACAAAACAAAAAAACAACAATACAAAAAACAAAACAAAAACAAAAATAACAAAATATTCATAACAAAAACTGACATTTACGAACGGGGTTGTGTAAAAATTTTAAAGAAAATTAATTTTTTCGGTTAATACATCAATTTTTCAGAGATGAACTACTTAATATTTACTTAATAATTTCTTTATCAAGTAGCTGAGGTAATAAATTTTGACATTTTTGTTTTTGTAAAATGTATTGGAATATCAAGTAAATATTACATTTAGTATATCATTTAATAATAACTTTTGAAAAATGTATTACTAATCAATGAAATAGATCAAGGTTAGAGAACAATTTTTGAAAATTAAAACTTTTTATATAATAATATGTAAATTGAAAAAATTAAAATTATCATACATAAAAAAAAAAAATAAAAATATTTTGCCACAAAAGGGCGTCGAACCCAAGACAAAATAATAAAATTTTTACATGAGAAACTAGCACAAGTACGTTGAAAGTTTTATAAATGGATAGTTAATAATCATTATTATTGTTTTCTAAAAAATATTTCGAATTATATTTAAATTAAAAAAAAAATTTGTTAGGGTGCTCAAAAGGTATTATCCTTTACGGGGTGTGATATACTTATATGTATATTCATATATTATTTTATTTTTACACTGCTTCTGTACGATTGGGGATCAATTATAAATGACAACAAAACAGAAAGAAAATGAAATAATTGTTTTGAAAGTTTTTCTATCTCTATAAAGCAATTTTTTTAAGGAAAGCCTACTAGTGAGCATGATCATTCGTAAATATTTCTGTGTTAATATTATTTTATCAATGAAATCAGTATAAAATTTAATAAAAAATAATTGTAGTTCTCAAAATCACAGAATGATATACTTTGTAGTACACACAATAATTTACTGTTTATTTTGTTTATTTTTATCCTACCACACGTTGTAAAGCTTTTTCAATGATATTTCAGATTTTTTTGTTGCATTAATCATAGTTCACGTATTTTGATATTAAAACTTTACACATATGCTTAGATTATGTTTATTTTTATCCTACCACACGTTGTAAAGCTTTTTCAATGATATTTCAGATTTTTTTTGTTGCATTAATCATAGTTCATGTATTTTGATATTAAAACTTTACACATATGCTTAGATTATTATATATGTATATAAATATGTATATATCAGTATGACTTAGAAAGCTTTTGCATTGAAAAACATCAAATGCCGTCGGTAAAACTTTTAAAATTATGGAAAATTTTTATATAAAATTTTTTAATAATGGTTTGGACAAATGAAATAACTTTTAAATATGTAGTAAATTTCGGAAGGGCTCAAAGGTACAAATAGAAAAAGATCAACGATGTTGCTCGTCAATCATCATACATTTCAAAATTTATTGTGTTTGTATACTTACTTGCATGTATTGGGTAGTCTTATTCTTAATTTTTTCATCATTTCAGGATAAGTCAACAATTTGAATCATGCAAATGACTAAGCAATATTAATTAATAAATATTATGTACAAGATGAATAAAAATTACTTGAATATTTCAGGTGATTTGAGGGCTCAATACTTTCTGTATATGTTCAATAAATATTAAAAATGTCAAAAACAAGCGCTTATATGTATGTATTTTATTTTTTTTTTATTACCATTTACAAAAATCTTTGATTTTTCACATTTATTTTTTATAATACATTAAACATTATTACAGTTTTCATTAAAATAAGTAGTCAATTTAACTAATACAATACATATAACTATAGACTTATTAAAATTAACAATAACATGTTCACAGATTAAATTATAGTAAAACTTTTTCTTTTTAACAAATATTAAATACTAAACCATATAAGAATTTGTAATCTATTTCAATATAATTTAAGATATTTCAATAATAGAATAATGACCCCACGGAAGCGTTTCATAACTATTATTTATTAAATATCTCTTATTATCATAAGGGCTTAGAGCAATTTTTTTTTGTGTAACCGAATTTACATTATGTTTTTCTGATAAAATAATATTTTGATTAATCGTTTTTTCCAAATTATTTCTTAAACAATCTAAGTAATCTTCAAATGTAATTTGATTTTTTACAACATTCCGTTTGATTCCTTTTGCCTTTTTTAAATTTTCATTTCCTTCTACTCGAATGGCGTACATTTTAGATCTTAGACCTACAAACTCAGTCATAATTTTTCCATTGTTTTCATCTTTCATTAGACCCAATACTTTTTTATTTACAAGAGGAATACCCCATTTATTATCAATCGAATAGTCACTGGTATCGAAATATAAATGGCAATCTCTTCGTATAATTTCATATAAATCAGGGCAATTAATTTCATATATTAACGAATCCGTGTCAGTGTAGCAAATGGTACAGTTTTTATTGAATTGTGGAAGCATATAATCATAATGGAAATCATAAATTGTTGTTTTTGCTAAGTCTAAAATAGACATACCTACATATATTGGTTTATTAAAGAAAATTTCAGTTTTGTTTAATTCTATAGCAACAAGGTTTTCATTAAATATGGTTGAAATCTTAAACTCTGGTTTGGAAATCAAGGCTTCAGCTCCATATCTTCCACCCCATTTTGTAACTAATTTTACTATACTATGCTTGCGAACATTTTCCATAGTTTTACCGAAAACCGCATTATTCATTAATTTAAAAAGATTTTTTTCAAAATCATTTCTTGCTTGTGTTCGAAGCTTTGTGTTCAGATCAATGTATGATTTTAACCATGGCGATTGTTTGAATTGCAGTATTCTGTGAATCTTCAAAACTTTTAACCCGTTTTTAATTGCTTGCTTTAAATTCCGATAATGAATTATATATCTTGATTTATTGTTTAAAGTAGCAAGCAATTTTTTTTGCTTTGAATGAGGGGCAGAAATATGTTCCGGACAAAATGGTAAATCTTTGTGCAAATTATGAATTTCTTGCGGATATTCTAAGTCCACTTCAAAAAAATAACCAATTTGAGAACTATCTATAATAGACTCCACTTTAAAATTTGCCACAGTATCGCACCATTTAAACTCACCTTCTGGAAGGGGCTGTGACATAGCCCATCCATACTGGTTATTAATGTCATTATACATTAAGTATTTTGAAGGTATTGAGGGGTTGTAATCAGACATATATTTGTTATTAGCTTTAGAATAGCGTTTAGTGCATTGACTTAATCCCCCACGTATACCTCGTTCAACAAACATAAGCATATCGATGTCAGTAAGAAGTTCTAAGGTAATATCTGAATATTTAAGCATACAGTCCCAAGTATACCCTGGCAACGTATAATAATGGGCTGGATCCAAGCTATATGTTTGATGGCAGCTTAAACGAAATTGTTCAAAGGTATCCGCTAGGAGGAGTACATCAGTTTTGAGATATAGATCGGAATATTCACCTAAATTTTTAATTTTAAGTGTTTGCCACACTTTTTGGGCGTGTATATAATCTTTCTCACTTATAGCAGAGTTGTTTAATTTATTATAAAATTTATCAATCGAGGGCAGTCGATTTTCTAAAAATATGTCGAAATTTTCAAAATAGTCATAAGGGTAGACACCTTTTCTCTTTAGTAAATTAATTTGTTCAATATTCATATCTTTAAACTCAGATTCTAAAATTGGATATGAGTTCAAATATGATGCAAGAGTATCTAAACTACAACTCATAAAACGAAAAGAATCAATAAATCGAAATTTGATTGCAAAATCTTCTATCTGTTTTGTAAAAGATATATATCGTTCCTTGTTTATTGGCAATAAATCTACCCTTCCTTGTAAATCAGTTGCTAAATTCTTTATTATAAAGTGTGAGTCATAACCACTTAAATTATGAAAAACAATTGGAATTGTGTGACTATCTTGAAAATTTAAATTACATCCCTCATGTGCTGGACCCCGGAATTTACCCGTAAGGTGACAATGGTCTCTTACTTTTTGATCAGAGTGATCAAATTTGCCTTCACAAATGTGGCAGAGTTTCGCTGATTCAAAGTCTTTGTTTTGTTCCTCAGTCAATTTATCCATAGGTAAAGGACAAAGAAATACAGTTTCCACGTCCTCAGCAAATTTTTCAAGTTCTTTAACAAACCAAGTAATGCAATTGGGGCCACGAACTGATTTATAAAACGACAACGTGGGATCATATTCACATTTTACATAATAACCTATACTACAAGGAACATGCTCTTGATATTTCTTACTATTATCACTTACTTGTTTCAGCAAACATTCCAAATCCGCATATATCACAAAAGGTGTTTTTATTTTATTGTTGAAATTTTTAAATTTGAGGTATTTTTCTTTTTCTGTTGGTAGTCTTACTTTACAATTGTTGAGACTGGTACAATCTTTCAAATGCGCCATTAAATTAGCTTCAGAATTAAAATAATGAAGACATCTATCGCAAAAATGTTTTTTACCATTATGCTTAGAAAGCTGTGAAGAAAGAAGTCTCGATAAATCCTTGATCCAAACAAAGTGATACTGAACCCCCACGGAACTGTGCTCGACATCATTTTGGAAATTATCATCATTATAATATATATTTTGTATTAAAAGAAGATTTACATGTTGATTTTTCTTGCTTTTTGTTAAATATGTTGGATGAACATCAAAATCCTTTTGATTTTTTTTCAGAATGTACACATTTATAGAAATATTATTTTGACTTTCAAATTTAGGAATTTGGCTCATAGTCACTGGAAACTGTATCCCCGCTAAATTCATAAGACTTGCATAATGAGGATATTGCGTTATACGATCAGAATTTTCATTAACTGGACAAAGTGCTGAAACAATAGCCCAAGCGAAACATGCGTTGTCATAATTTTTAACGTTGATACAAGCTTTTTTCTTAATTATCGCATGTGGCAATTTAATGTAAGACGATCCTAACATAGGAGTAAACTTGTTTACATTTATAGTTAAGTGATAAATTGTCGACAAAGCCCAACCACTATCCTTTTCTTAAAATTCTTCTAACTTTGCCAATATATTCTTTTCTATATTCTCTGAGAAAAATTCTTTAATGTTTGTATTGTTATACACAGGCTTATTTCTGGTGTTCATATATTTCATTTCACTTAACTCTTTATCGCCACTAAATTTTTTAAATTCTGCACACAGAACCGCATTAATTTTAACAGCTTGCTCCGCTTTCAGTACATTTTGTATATGGCAGTAGAATACTTCATTGCAATCAATTAAAAAATTTAATGGTTCCTTATGTTTAAGATTAACAATCATTCCAGTTCTGATTCGGCTATTAAACGCACATTGAACATCTACCCATTTCACACTATAGCTTAAGTAGTTTTTTCTGTTGGAGTGAGCTGCTTTGTAGCCTTCGCCTTTTTTCAATCTCATAAACTTCAATTTTGTTCGGTAGCTTTTCAACATTTGGATTCCATTACCAATATGAATTTTGGCTCCTATAGTTTCAGAAGTGTTTAGCTTGGTTACCAGTACCCTTAAGTTCTTTGAGCATTCTTTAATACTCGACTCAATTATATTTGAATTATTTTTACAATTCTCAAACGCTAATTGAGCACTTTTAATAATTTCATTTACATCCATTGTTTTATCTTTTTTTGTTTGTTATTAACACACTGATAGCTATTTGTACAATAAACTATTCATGAAAGCGCTTTCAATTAAGTAGTCTTAGCGAAGGTATTGCTGATAAGAAATCGAGTAATTTTAGAAACATGTCGAGACATGTTAGCTTATATTTAATTTAAGTTTAAGCGCATATTTATTTTTTCTAAAAATAGATTTTTAATTAGTAATGCTTTTCATTATCAATGACGTCATTATTTAAAGCTTACGTAAAGTTATCATGTGTGTATAGGGAACTTTATCAGGACGGGGTATTAAAACAAACAAAATAAAAGTGAATCATAGTATTGTTTCTATTCTGCAGTCATCATAAAACTTACTTTATAATTATATTTTTCTTTGGTTCAATCAAATGTTTAACATAATGTAATCGTATAGAAGCATAAGAAAAAAATAATATATGTATGTATATAAATTATATTTAATGTAGTATGCTATCACTTTATTTGAGAAAAAATTTATATGAGAGATAAGACGTAAGAATAGAAAACGGAAGAAAGCTGAAAATATTTTGATGAAGAATAGAAAAAGCAATGAATATGAAAATAATAAGAAGGAATTTGGAAATGTAATGGAATATGTAATTTGAATCTGTTTGGTTTGCCGAAGTTGCAAGTTAGGTGGAGTTAGGCGCCCGCCGAAGTTATTTGGTGGAATGGGGCTTATGCCAAAACTCATGGGCCTGGGCAAGGACTTGGGGGACTGGAACAGTCGACGCCGCCGAAGTTGCTGGTTTTGCCGAAGGTGCACGGACGCCTGACGCCTGTTGCATGTGCATGGATATTGATCTGATATTGAACTGGTATTGAACTGCAACAGATCTGATCTGGTCTGTTGCCGTTGTTGATCGGATCTGTTGCTGCTGTTAATCAGATCTGTTGCAGTTCATGATAGCTAATATTCTATTTAAGTTCAAGGGTAATGCTTCTATAAAGCTTTTAGGGAAGGAGATGGAGGTGGAAGACGGAGAGGGTGAAAGGAGGAGGACAAAGGAGAGAGGAAGGAGGAGGAAGGAAGAGGGAAGATATTGATCTGATATTGAACTGGTATTGAACTGCAACAGATCTGATCTGGTCTGTTGCCGTTGTTGATCGGATCTGTTGCTGCTGTTAATCAGATCTGTTGCAGTTCATGATAGCTAATATTCTATTTAAGTTCAAGGGTAATGCTTCTATAAAGCTTTTAGGGAAGGAGATGGAGGTGGAAGACGGAGAGGGTGAAAGGAGGAGGACAAAGGAGAGAGGAAGGAGGAGGAAGGAAGAGGGAAGATATTGATCTGATATTGAACTGGTATTGAACTGCAACAGATCTGATCTGGTCTGTTGCCGTTGTTGATCGGATCTGTTGCTGCTGTTAATCAGTTGCTGCCGTTGTTGATCGGATCTGTTGCTGCTGTTAATCAGTTGCTGCTGTTAATCAGATCTGTTGCAGTTCAATACCAGTTCAATATCAGATCAATATCTTCCCTCTTCCTTCCTCCTCCTTCCTCTCTCCTTTGTCCTCCTCCTTTCACCCTCTCCGTCTTCCACCTCCATCTCCTTCCCTAAAAGCTTTATAGAAGCATTACCCTTGAACTTAAATAGAATATTAGCTATCATGAACTGCAACAGATCTGATTAACAGCAGCAACAGATCCGATCAACAACGGCAACAGACCAGATCAGATCTGTTGCAGTTCAATACCAGTTCAATATCAGATCAATATCCATGCACATGCAACAGGCGTCAGGCGTCCGTGCACCTTCGGCAAAACCAGCAACTTCGGCGGCGTCGACTGTTCCAGTCCCCCAAGTCCTTGCCCAGGCCCATGAGTTTTGGCATAAGCCCCATTCCACCAAATAACTTCGGCGGGCGCCTAACTCCACCTAACTTGCAACTTCGGCAAACCAAACAGATTCAAATTACATATTCCATTACATTTCCAAATTCCTTCTTATTATTTTCATATTCATTGCTTTTTCTATTCTTCATCAAAATATTTTCAGCTTTCTTCCGTTTTCTATTCTTACGTCTTATCTCTCATATAAATTTTTTCTCAAATAAAGTGATAGCATACTACATTAAATATAATTTATATACATACATATATTATTTTTTTCTTATGCTTCTATACGATTACATTATGTTAAACATACTTCATTGCAATCAATTATAACATATAGAATACTTCATTGCAATCAATTAAAAAATTTAATTGATTCCTCCCTCTTCCTTCCTCCTCCTTCCTCTCTCCTTTGTCCTCCTCCTTTCACCCTCTCCGTCTTCCACCTCCATCTCCTTCCCTAAAAGCTTTATAGAAGCATTACCCTTGAACTTAAATAGAATATTAGCTATCATGAACTGCAACAGATCTGATTAACAGCAGCAACAGATCCGATCAACAACGGCAACAGACCAGATCAGATCTGTTGCAGTTCAATACCAGTTCAATATCAGATCAATATCTTCCCTCTTCCTTCCTCCTCCTTCCTCTCTCCTTTGTCCTCCTCCTTTCACCCTCTCCGTCTTCCACCTCCATCTCCTTCCCTAAAAGCTTTATAGAAGCATTACCCTTGAACTTAAATAGAATATTAGCTATCATGAACTGCAACAGATCTGATTAACAGCAGCAACAGATCCGATCAACAACGGCAACAGACCAGATCAGATCTGTTGCAGTTCAATACCAGTTCAATATCAGATCAATATCCATGCACATGCAACAGGCGTCAGGCGTCCGTGCACCTTCGGCAAAACCAGCAACTTCGGCGGCGTCGACTGTTCCAGTCCCCCAAGTCCTTGCCCAGGCCCATGAGTTTTGGCATAAGCCCCATTCCACCAAATAACTTCGGCGGGCGCCTAACTCCACCTAACTTGCAACTTCGGCAAACCAAACAGATTCAAATTACATATTCCATTACATTTCCAAATTCCTTCTTATTATTTTCATATTCATTGCTTTTTCTATTCTTCATCAAAATATTTTCAGCTTTCTTCCGTTTTCTATTCTTACGTCTTATCTCTCATATAAATTTTTTCTCAAATAAAGTGATAGCATACTACATTAAATATAATTTATATACATACATATATTATTTTTTTCTTATGCTTCTATACGATTACATTATGTTAAACATTTGATTGAACCAAAGAAAAATATAATTATAAAGTAAGTTTTATGATGACTGCAGAATAGAGAATGTAATTTATATTTTTTTTTTTATAATTAATAATTATCTGCATATGGAAATTGTATTAATACACTGGATCATTTAATCAATTTTTCATCCATTTGCATAAATCTTGATATCTCATCGTATATAGAATGTATTTTAATGCAAAAAAGAAAAAAATTTTGCTTAAGTTTGCATAATTCTATTCTTGCATATTTTCATTGTTTTGGCGGTTTTTTATATTGTATTATATGCTTATTACTCAGTCATAATACTTTAATATGCCTACTTGTATATGTAAAAAAGACATCAAAAGAGGTGATTTAAACGTTCAATGTGGTGGTTGTAAAAAAATATTTCATATACATTGTGCAAAATTAACTCAAATAGATTTGCAATATATGAAAACGCACAAAATTGATCACAAGTGTTCAACATGTGTAAGTAAAAGGAGAAATTCTTCACTGCACTCACCTACACATTCACCTGTATTTAATGATGTTACTACTGGACTAGATGGTAATATTTCAACCTCTCCGCAAAAAGAAATTACCTTGGAATTGCTTTATGAAGAATTAACACAACTTAAAATATTTAATAAAAATGCGGTTTCTCTTATAACTTCTTTGCAACAAGATAAAATTAATTTACAACAACAAATTGATACTTTGCAGAATAAATTAAATGGTATCCAATATAAACAAAGAGAGAAGGTATTAAGAATTCATGGTATTCCAAATATAAACAGAGATAATATGTTAGATAGCGCTCTCACAGTTTTTAATGATGGTTTAAATGTTAATATTAGTAAAGAAGAAATTGATGACTGCTACGTTCAAAGTTTTAACAACAACAAAAAACCTGTGGCTTCAACTTCTGGTCTCGCTACTAGTGAAAATACGTATGCAACTGTAGCCAGCGACAACTCTCTCTCGCACGTTATTTACATAAAGAAACAAGAGAAAAAATACAAATTTCTTTGGGTAAAAAATGATAATATTTATATGAGAAAAAAGGAAGGTGATCTTGTAAAGGTAATAAATTCAATTGAGGATTTAAATAGTTTAGATTAAATTTTATTTTCTTAGTTTCATATTATATTATTTTACAATGAATAATTTAAATTTT